CCATTTATTTTCAGAAAATAATAAAATTTGAAAGCTAACTCCAAAGGCGAGGGGAACAGAACACCTTACCTGTTCAGCCAGGCCAACAATGCTCCTAACAACCCCCCTTTCAGAGACATAGACAGGTATCAGGTATTGCAAGCTAACAAAGAACCCAAAGATCCCCATTCAGGACTCCATCTCTTCTAGGATGGGTTAGGAGGCTCTACAGTCACGCAGTGGCTGATGCCTCGCTCTAAAACCTGACCTTTGTTTACATATCACAGTTCAGCCGCACAAAGGTGACATTTACCCTGCAAGAATTACCTGAAATCATTTAAACTGAGTCACTTTAACATGAATCTGGAGTCTGATCGATAAAGCAGACAGAGAGGAAGGAAATCCAAACAAATATGTAACTTTCTGATGTTAGATTAAAATGATCTCACGGCCGAAACCTTTAGTTTTCTCAGGCTCAAATGAAAATAAGGATGAATATAAACCATTTCTTTGGTTCTTTGAATGCATCCTTATGACAGATCCAGATGTGCTGCAGTTTGGCGTCTCTGGAACAGGCAAACAGCTGCTTGATCGACCCCTTTATTGTCTTCAAAAGGAAAATGCGCATATCTGATATCAGGGTTTCTGTCTCTGGGCGGACACCTGCTCCAACACATCGGTGTTGCCTGAACCATCGCTGTTTACCATATTTTTTTAACCTTTTATTGTTTCACAGTGTAGGATAAATAAATAAACAACTCAACGGCTTCGGAAAGATAATGTGACGTTTGTGATCCTCCTTAAAAGCTTTAATCCTGAAGGGAAGCATTTCTCTCTGCTTTGGTGCATCTCAGAGCTTTTATGTTATAAAAGGAACCAGAACCTTTGTAGAAATTTTAGATTTCTAGGAAACGTCCTGAGGACCGACTAATCCCTGATTGTTCTGGGCATGCAGACGTTAGCGTATGGAGACATGAACCACGAGTGGATTGGTAACGAGTGGCTGCCCAGCCTGGGTCTTCCTCAGTACCGCTCCTACTTCATGGAGTCCCTGGTGGACGCCCGGATGCTGGACCACCTGACCAAGAAGGACCTGAGAGGACAGCTGAAGATGGTGGACAGCTTTCACAGGTACACCAGCTTAGCCGGCGGATCGCCCCTTCAGCAGATTTATTAAGGCTGCAAATAATTAAACTTTAGATTATTTTTAGGATTAGTGGATGGAAAAAAACATTAATCTAATTGTTGCTACTTGGGCGTTTCTTTTTAAATTAATATTAAATGACTTTACTTTAAATAAAGAACTTTATGCTGAATCAGATATTTAATCATTTATTCCTCAATGTTTGTTTTTTATTTTTTTTATTTATTTCCTTCATTTATATTAACAAAAAAAGCCGACATTGAAGATGAAGAGAAGAATTATTCTTATTTTTTTCTTCCTCTTTTTTTAACTTCATGTGACTTTGTCATTATGACAAATAAGTTTTTCTATAGTTTCAGACTTACTTTAAACACATATGTAACACATGTTATACATTTTTTAAATATTTTAAGTTCTCTCTTGAGGTTTTTCCATAGTTGTTTAGTATTTACAGAGATTCTCTGTTCGTTTACTTTGATGTTTTTTTTCCTTTAAAATTCAAACTGCTTACTCATTAAATTTTTTATATTGCCAATCTTAAAGTCCTTTTTCTCAGATGCGCTTTGGTTGAACCCAGGTAGAAAAAATAGACACCATAAAGACTGACGTGCTGACCATCAAATAGACCAGCAGCTCATTTCACACTGGTTCAGCATAAAAGCTGCATAACGTTTCTAAACATGTTTAATAGTTTATTTATCCCTGAGCTGTGTATCATATGGACAGTCTGTGACGGAGTTTATACATTTAATCACGATTACATAATGACATTAAAGACTCTTGAAAGGTTAGTTTTAGTTAGTTCAGCATCTTTATTATGAATTTGTCTGGACAATTAAAGTTAATCATTAAATAATGATCCTCAATCGATCAGAATAAAATTGCATGATGAGAGGATGGTCTATAGACTGATCAGCTTGTTATAAACATGTTATTTAAATTTACAGAGTGAACGCTCATCATTCCTCCCGAGTTAAACAAGGACTGGGTAAACAGGAAGAATCTTAAACCCTCAAACTACAGCCTAGCTTGTGTTTGTGCAACAGGAACAGCTTCCAGTGTGGTGTGATGTGTCTGAGGAGGCTGAACTACGACAGGAAGGAGCTGGAGAGGAGGAGAGAGGAGACCCAGCTGGAGCTCAGAGGTAAGCAGCACCCCCTGCTGACGGTCCACTGATGCTGCAGTCTCTGCACACCTCCCGAGTTAGCTTCCCTTCTGCTGTTCTGTCAGTTTAACAATTGAAACATCTGATGCGTCTTTTGAGTGGTGGATATAAACACAATATAAAAAAGGACGACTCTGTTCCTGAATCCTTGTTCTAAAAATAACCTGCTTCCTGTGCGGCTTATTGTCCGTGTGCAGGAACACACAGCAAAGGTAACGATCCATGATGTAAGCGATCAACTGTTTCTACAGTGAGCATTTAAGCATTTAAAAAAAAAAGTATAAA